GGGGGTCAAATGTCCCCAGTGATGAGGGGGCTCTGCAGTACTCACCCAAGTGCCCCCCTGAGAGAACAAGTCACTGGTGTGTGTCCTCCCCCTCCTCTGGCCAGCTCTGGCCAGCTGACCTGCCTGTAATGTTCCGGGAAGACTCTCCTGCCTCCCTGCACAGCCGGAAGCAGCAGCCGGAGAGACAGAGGTGAGATGGGTAGGGGAAGAGAGGAGTCTCGACCTCATTTGCTTTCTCTCTTCTGTGTCTGGGGCAGGAGGAACGTTCAGAGTGGATGAGAATCAGGAGTTTCAGACTGGACTGGGATGTTCATTTCCCACAAGAGGCTAAAGATGGAGCCAGCTGGGAATCTGCGGCTCTTTTTCCAGGCCTGTTTGTACCATCGCTGACCTTGTTGAAACAACCAGTGCTCGGTGAGGTTAGGTGATGTGCGGAGAGACACACGGCCCCCACCCACACCCTAGAGCTGCTCTTGGACTTCCAGTGCAGTACTCGCCCCTACGTACAATCTGACGACTGGATTGTCCACGTTGCAAAGGAAGAGGAGGTGTGGCCATGCTCTATGTGAACCCGAGACTTGGGAGGAAGAGGAAGATGATTTGCACATTATCTGGCAACCAGTTCCTTATAAATTATATGCTTACAGATTGCCCTGTATTCCTCTGCCTGACCAACAGCTGTGGCCAACCGTGGCCAGAAAACAACCCCCACGCCACTGCTCCCCACGTGGTTGCAGCTCACAGGGACCCCACAAGACCGAGCAGGGCTGCTCCTTTGGATTTCCGAGATTGTCAGTGTTTACCGGAGCAGACAGCCTCATCGTTCTCCCTTCAAGGAGCTGGTGGGTTCGAACCACCAACCTTGTAGTTCACGGTCCAACAACCCTTTATATTGTTACATGAACTAGAATCTCAATATCCTTTGAATTCACAGGCCTGAGAACCCAAGTGTTAAAATCCCTCCTTTCCAAATGCCCCGGAAGCCCTTCTCATTCTATGATGAACATTTCAAGTGACCCAAATCTGTGGATGCCAGAGGCATGGACTTTTGTTGGTTTGGTCAGGAACATTGACTGTGGTATGATCTGTTCCGAAAGGGGACACTTGCCCAAACAGACTTCCCCCAACCTGCACGGCACCGCACCCAAGTGACTGGACTTGTGTGCTCTGGGTCTGTGGGCTGCCTGGTTTCTCCAAGCCGTGTAGGTCAGGCATCAGTTGTGTGTGGGTTTCTCAAGAAAAAGCTGACTTTTAGTCTTTCATTGCACAAGCTGCCACCGCGGAGTGGGGTCACCCAGGTGGCAAGGCTCAAGGGAGCTGGGGTTAGCTCAGAATCCCTAGTCAGCTGCAGAGGGAGGTGGAGGAAACTCTACTGACTTCTCCTGCTTCAGCCAAGGACGATTGTCTAGGGAGAAAATATCTCGGGCTGAATACTTGCCTTTGAAGTCCTGAGACTGCGGAACTCGATGGATGGCACACAAGCCCAGATCTGCCAACTAAAGTGCCCCAGCTCCTGGAAACCACAACTCACCAATGTGTGGGTACATATCTCAAACAGGACCAGTCAGAAGCTTTCCCGGGGACTGATGGATGAAAGCTGGGCCAAAGAGAAGCTCTCATTCCCCTGGGGTTCCTCAGTTGGTGCTATAGGAAGCCATGTTCTCTGCCCCGAGCAAAGGGCCAGTCAACAGTGAAGGTGGGGGGCTTGGGGGGTGGCACTACCGAAGGAGAGGCTGAGGTGAGCAGAAGGGAGAGGGGAGTGTGGAGAGCTCTGATGGGCTTGGGATTCTGATATGGAATCTGTGAGCTACCATGGTATTTTCACAGCTATCAGAGGCAGTAATGAACCCGGTTGGACCATGAGTTACTATTTATTGAAGCTGAGCGATAGGTATATGGGAGGGGTGGGGGAGGGGGAGAGAGAGAGAGGAGAATGATCACAACAGCACAATCTCTCTAATTTTGTATGCTTAAAATTGTCCATAATAAGGCAAAGGGCATTTCTAGAGGTCTAGATAAAGACATGTACATATGCAAATATATTTATATGAGGATGGGGAAATAGATCTATGAGCCTACATTTATAGGTTTAGTA